GGAGCAGTATTAAACCTAACTGTGAACTCTGGCCAAGTCCTGGTGAGCCCAGCTTAGATCCAATGACCTGCAGACATAAGAGAGAAACATAAATGCTTACTGTTGGAGCCCACTGAGGTCTGGATAGTTTGTTATGCAGCATTATTGCGGCAAGAGCTAACTGATACAGTAAGCAATGTTGGAACTTTCCTGTCCTTGACCCTCTTTATAAGTGCCTACTCCAAAACCTGGATAAAATCTTAAATTTGTCTTTGTCAGATTTCAGTATTTCAATCTCTCTTAATTCATTTAAAGAAAGTTTTTTAACAAATTGACTAAACCAAGAGATTATTTAAGAATTTCATTTGAAAACAATGAGGGAGAGAGGGGTTGGCCGTATTCCTTGTTGGTGGTGTAGAGTGATCAAAGCCAACTGGCTTAAAAATGATTCTGAACTTTGAAAGAGGCCGGAAAAAAATGAAAACCAACATTGAAATGACAGTGCATCTGAAAGGAGCCAGAATTTATTGCTGGGATAATAAATTGGAGCTTTCTGGAAGGAAAATCTAGCCAAAAATGACCAAAAAAAAAAGTGACCCAAAACAACAAGTATTTTAAAGACCAAGCTTCGGGGGGAAAGCTTACGCGATTGATTTAGAGACTTTCTTTGTCAAGTCCCCTTTCACTGGGTGCAGATCCCTGGAGAATATAAAATTCTACAGAAATAAATCCGCTTTTGCCCAAACAAGTAGACACAGGAAGCGTTATTCACATTTGCCTTTCAGAACACCCGGTGGGAGAAGCTTCGGAAGGCTGATTTCTGGTCACTGGCTTCTGCTAGAATCCACAAGGATTACGGTCAGCTTTGTGCTTATTCTAGGGCACGTATAGCCGAACGCCGCCGCAGCTCTCCGGGAGGGAAAAGGAACGCCTCTGGGATTACACTGTGTCCTAACAAGCACTTGGAAGCTTTCAAAAGTGTCAGTGGTAGCAAAACAGAACTAGCCAATTGCATTCTGGAAGGAATAAGAAAACAGATCCAAATTCAGAGGACACATATGGATCACCTACTGTGTGCCGGGGAATGGCGCCCCAGGCAGCATATACCCCGTCTTTTACCAACAGCAAAGCAAATATTTAGAGACTGCTTGTCTGATGTCCCAGGGGCTGATACATTCCTCTCTTCCTTGCTCAACAAAGTGTTAGAAAGATACTCCTTAGTCACTGAATGCACTGAATTAGCCCACAGCCGAAAGAAATGACCAGACATTGTGTGTGTGTGTGTGTATGTGTGTGTGTGTGTGTGTGTGTGAGAGAGAGAGAGAGAGAGAGATCTTTTGGTCCAGGGAAGAGTGAGTCTTGGACAAGTCATCCTTCACCAGGCTTTTACTTTATTCAAGTTTTTGTGTCGTAATGATGTTTAATTATCAAGGAAATTATTATTGCTATCAGGAAGATAGTACTAGTTAGAACTCCACTGTTTAGGATAATAATGCACTATGTACATCTCACTGAATCCTCATATATCCCCAATCATTACTTTCCCAGTTTTCCTGCCAATTTCCTTGTTTTTATAGAACAGGAAACTGAGGCTAGAAAAGTGACCAACTTCAGGGGCTTCCACAGCTAGTGAGTCATGGGCTGAAACTGGAACCCAGGTCTACTGAATGGCAAGGTCCCTGCTCTAAACCTCCCTAAAATGACCCTAACTCAGCCCAAATGAATTTGTTTATTCGACAATCGCATGTTCTCTCCTGATAGATACAGCCCGTTGCTTTATGCAAGTGCGTGTGCGTTCTGGTCAGGTAGGGGGTAGGGAGGAACACACAATGAAAGCTACACATCTATTGGAGGGGAATGGACTATAAACCATTTGTTTATCTTTTCTGGTTAAAAAACACACAACTTCATAACCAATATCACATCTGTAAGCAAGAGTGAGACACAAAACTTGATTGTTGTGGGTCTGCATTTATGTCTATCTTATGCACAGTGTAGGGCAAGGATGTCAAACTCAAAGGCTGACACGGGCCAAATAAACAAGGGCCACAAGTTTGACATGCTTGGTGTAGGGGGATGGCCGCAGCTCTCACAGTGAAAACACTGGTGAGGAAGGAATAGGTATTAACAGGAGGAAGAGCAAGGAGGAGGCTTCAGGCCCGGCCAGCGTGGCTCAGTGGTTGAGCATCAACCTACGAACCAGGAGCTCACAGTTCAATTCCCAGTCAGGGCACATGCCTGGGTTGCAGGCTAAATCCCCAGTAGGGGGCATGCAAGAGGCAGCCAATCAATGTTTCCCATTGATGTTTCTCTCTCCCTCTCTCCCTTCCTCTCTCTCTAAAATCAGTAAAAACATACTTTAAAAAGAAAAAGTTGGAGACCCAATTTTCTACCTAATGGGTAGAATGGAGAATTAGCACCGATATAGTCCCAGGGTTCAGAGGGAGCTGTGTGGAGGAACTATAGGTTTTGTGTAGATACCAATCCATTTCCCTCACTCACCAGACTGGAGTAAAGCCAGGTTAATTAGTCCCTCCAAACCTCAGTTTCTCCACCTGAGTCATGGTTACGATTCATGCCGATCTTGTAAGGTTTACTCAAGGTTTGAAAATATTGTATGTTAAGACCTAACAGTGTAATATTTGTACAATTGGAATTCATGTGGTAGCTGCTGGTGATAGAAGTAATAGTGACAGGACTCGTTGAGATTTCTTAATCTGGCTTTGATTGTTCTGTAAACCAGACTGGGAGATCTGGGCCCAGAATGAGTGCTAGCAGGAACGCCCGTTAGCAGCGGGTTTGAGGGCGCCTCGTCAGGAGAAGATGTGGGGAAACCCCAGAGAGGCCGTTCCAATCAATACACTAACATTTGCTCTGTCCTCGAGCCTCACCCCCATGTTGACACAAGTGGCCATTAGAGGACACGATGAGCCGCCGCCGAAGTAATGGGCTGGAAGGAGGCGGCAGCACGCTGGGTGGCCCCTGAGGGGTCGGGGCGCACATCAATTGCAGGCTGCATTAATGTCTGGGGTACGGCCCGGCGGAGGGCAGGGGCATTATCACTTCGGGACCCACCCAGCTCAATAAGGAAGTTGCCTCACGGTCTCAAGCGCTTCTCGTTGGCCTCAACAGCAAGTGCCACTGCCAGCAGCATTTTACTGTCCGATTCATGCTGGGACTGCCCTTTATCTAGAGAGCGGGGAGGGCCACGAAACCAACCGAGCAGGCTGGTCAGTCGTTAGCGAACTCGAGCAGAAGTTCAGCCGCTGCAATTCTAACTCAGAGCTCTTTCTGCTCCTTTCTGAAAGTGGCCAAAGGAGAACTAAAAGAGGGGCCCTGCCTGCCTTCTGCGTGGCCACGACTCGCTGTGCGGCTGACTTTTGGTCTGGATTGAAGAGACTACCAGAGGGTTGTGTACATTATAGTTTGTCCACGTGAACGGATACTGCGCAGTCGTTACAAACAGCGCTGGAATCCGCCAGAAACTATCAAGACCACAAAATATTAACTGGCACAAGCTACAAAACCGGATGCCCGGTAGCAGTCCATGTGTGTAAGGACGAGAACGTGTACACGCTCACCCTGAAGTGGGGAGGGTGCGCCCACAGTGACTGACACCCCCATCCCTGTGCCCAGGTCCTCTCCATGTGGCTGCACGACAATGAGAACAACTTGTTCCTGGTAAGGGGGAGGTGGGAGTCTTTACTCTCCTTTATGACTATCTGTACTCTCCGCATTCTCTTCACCCAATGCAGGCTGTTTGTGTTGTTGTAAGAATGCTACAAACACGCACTCCAGCATCTACTGGTTTCTAAAACGCTGGCAGTGTGGGGGGAAGTTCATAGAATGCGGTGCGTTCACACCACAGAATGTTCACCGACACCGAGATGTCATTCTGAAGAGTCTCTAACACCACTGAGACGAGCCCTTCCGACGCCCTCCAGTCCTGCCCCTCCAGTCCTTCCCTCCTATACTGGGCTGAACCCCATCAGAATTCGGGTTCCCGCAGGTGCCCTGGCTCCTGGGGAGCCCATGTTGCTGCTCCCACTTGCCTGCCTCCGGCCGCTGAGCTGACACCTGCTGCTCCCTCCTCTGCAAGACCCTGTGGGCCTCTGAGCTTCGGAAATAAACCCCTTTCTGCTTAAAATCGAAACACGTGTAGGGGAACATGTGTTACCATGATTTTCTTTCTAAAAAGAGGAAGTTTACCTGTAGCCTTATGTGGCGCTGTTGAAAAGGAAGCCCGTCTTCAGAGAAAGGCTGAAACGGAGGGCCACGGAAGTGCGGCACTGCTGTCTTTGGGTGCCAGGATCATGGCGGACGCTCCTTTCTTACGTTTCTGTGTCTTTCACAGCTCCTCCAGTGCGCGTACGTGTTACTTTTAAAAACGTAATAAACTGTTCCTTGTAAGTAGAGGGCAGGGAGAGACTGAAGAAAGAGGGAGACCACTCCAGATTGTTTGATGTCGGGTTTAATAAGCACTCTCCCTCCCTTCCTCTTTGAAATCAATAAAAATATATTTAAAAACTTAACTCTTTATAAGAAAGAGCAACTGTCACTGGATTCTCTCCACAGAAATGCAAAGGGGGTTCTGTGGTCTCCTCCATCCACCTGTGCGTCTCTACGCGCTGGACTGGAGGCCTCCCCTCTGCTCTTCTTTGACTCCCCTTTTCTCCCCCTGCCTCTTTTCTTCCTTTATCTACTTAATATTCATAGACACATCTCGTTTTCCAGATCCTTTCCTTCCTCCAAACCCTCCACCTGAGATGAATTAATAAGTCATAATCACGGTAAATGACGCTTAGCGTAGTAACAATCACAGTACAATCACACAAGTGGAGACCTCTGGCCCAGGTGGAGGAAGTGGCTGGTTTACTCTGCATCCTGCATCCCTGGAAGGAAGCAGGCTTTTGTCCTTTTCCACCTGGAGCTGTCAAGCGGGACTGAGTGAAGGCCGCACACGGGAAGGCGTCTTCATTCACAACATTCAGCTGGGAGTGTGGCGAGGGCCGCCCCGGCAGCTACAGCTTGCATCCGTCCAACCACCGCGCCAGGGTGTCGGAGAACTGGCAGTTCAGGGTCCAAGAGGGCCTGCGGAGAGGACCGCCAGGGAATCAGAGCTCACGTTCTCCGGGGATCCAGCGCCCATGGGCCCCTTCACACCGCGCTCTGGCCCCTGGGGCACTGGAGCAAGCTACTCCTGCTGTGGGCATATTTCTCAAGGCTCTTGTGCATCTCAAGTGTGTCTCTGGCTGCCGCCCCCACACCCTAACGTGCTGGTGCTCCCTATGCTCGCATGCTCACCCCCGAGCCCCCAAACCCTGCAACAAACACACCTCTTTCCATAAATCCCACACCGCGAGGTGGGGAGGAGGAACTGTGAACTGAAAGACTCCTCCCAACCCTGCAAAGTCGGTATTTTTAACGTCTCTGAAGTGAGCATCGGAGTTCTGGGACTGGCGCAGGGTCATGGAGCACTTGGCAGACCCGAGATCTGACATGGGAACCCTTGTGGCCTGGGCCAGGGCCTCCTTCACCTTCCCAGGCTCCTGCCTTACCTCACTTCCAAACTCCTAGCAGCCCCTCCACCTGCCCAGGTCCGCTGCACTGCGCTTCTCTAACCTCTCTCCTGGCGCCCCTGGAAGTGACCCCCCTATTCCCAGCTCCTGCGGAGAGGACAGTCAGGGAGTCAGAGCTCAGGTTCTCCAGGGACCCAGTCCCCACAACCCCAGGTCCTCCTATCCCAACCCAGAAGCTGTGGGCGTCCCCAGGCCAGCTGCAGGCCATTAGAAATTCTGTCAGGCAGGCCCCCGTGAGTCTTCCGGGGTCCTTGGTCCCAGAATCGAAGGGGAGGCTCTGGCTCCTGCCCCTCGTGGATATAATAAAGCAGCAGGGAAACACGCAGGCTCTCCCCGGGCTGGTTAGCCATTTGAAAAATATAAAGTGGAATCCCTACCTCACTTTTTATACCCGAATAAATTCCAAGAAGGCCGAAATTTAACAATGAAAACATGACAATTCTATTTTGTAACTGAATTAACAAAAACTCAATGTGAGATTCAGTTTGCGCCAGCCACTGTTTTAATACAGAAGAAAATATGGCTCCATTTCTCTACGGTCTTGGAGCATGGAAAACTTTCTAACAAGGACATCCCACAAAAACTCAAGCCACACACACAAGGAAAGATGGAGGGATTTGATTCTGTGAAAATGTTAAACTCCTGGATGATGAAAATACCATAAGTCAAGTCAAAAGATAAAGAACAAACCTGAAAAAAAAACACCAGTTCACAAAGACATGATGGACACAGGTGTCATGACCCTAATTTATGAAGGGTATGTGTAAAAGCAATAAAAAGAAAACATTGTTATCCCAATAGAAAAACTGGCGAAGAACATGGATCAGCAGCTCACAGGAAATGACTAAGAAAGACTGAGAAGATGCCCAATTTATTTTACGTTTTAAAGATGCAAAGCAAAACAGAACGCTATTTTACAGGCCACAACTGCCGAAAACCACACAAGTCGAAATGCTGCAGGCTAATGAGCCGGGGGAACACGGCCCCTCACGCAGTGTAGCTGGAGGTACGCCCTCTCTGGAGCCAATTTAACAATTTGTCTCCAACGTTTCAATGCACCGAGCGGTCCCAGCGGGTCTTCTGCAAGGGATTTCCATAGAACACGCTTGAGAGAACATAAAAATTCCGAGAGCAAGATGCTCATGTAGACTTGGAAACAGCAGCAGGAACCAAATGGAACCACCTCACTGGCAGACAAGCCCCGAGCAGTGGGCACAGCTGGCAGAAGCGCAGGCATTGCAGAAGAGACTCCTGCGGCATGCGGGGTCTTGGTCTCCTCCCTTCCTGTCTGCCCCAGCTCGGCAGAGCTGCTGACCTGAGCTTGGGGAACGACATGGCTGCTGATTAGCTCAATAAGAGCTCACGGCCCTGGGAATTCTGAGCAAGCGAGAAGGCCTTGATCAGCCTGACCCGCTATACCGTACAGATGGTTTCAGCTCGTTAGTGCTGACCCCGGAGGGTCGGCCAAGCTTCCAAGTTCATTGGAAAGTCAAGGCGAGGTATGCAAGCTATGTTAAACACTCAGAAGACAGCTCCCATTAGTAAGGGGACTCCCACCTAAAACAAATCAAATCACAGGTCCGTGGTGTTGAGACTCCCCCCCC